GAAGCATGGGGGTGGAAACATCATGCTTTGGGGCTGTTTTTCTGCAAAGGGACCAGGACGACTGATCCGTGTAAAGGAAAGAATGAATGGGGCCATGTATCGTGTGATTTTGAGTGAAAACCTCCTTCCATCAGCAAGGGCATTGAAGATGAAACGTGGCTGGGTCTTTCAGCATGACAATGATCCCAAACACACCGCCCGGGCAACGAAGGAGTGGCTTCGCAAGAAGCATTTCAAGGTCCTGGAGTGGCCTAGCCAGTCTCCAGATCTCAACCCCATAGAAAATCTTTGGAGGGAGTTGAAAGTCCGTGTTGCCCAGCAACAGCCCCAAAACATCACTGCTCTAGAGGAGATCTGCATGGAGGAATGGGCCAAAATACCAGCAACAGTGTGTGAAAACCTTGTGAAGACTTACAGAAAACGTTTGACCTGTGTCATTGCCAACAAAGGGTATATAACAAAGTATTGAGAAACTTTTGTTATTGACCAAATACTTATTTTCCACCATAATTTGCAAATAAATTCATTAAAAATCCTACAATGTGATTTTCTGGATTTTTTTTCCTCATTTTATCTGTCATAGTTGACGTGTACCTATGATGAAAATTACAGGCCTCTCTCATCTTTTTAAGTGGGAGAACTTGCACAATTGGTGGCTGACTAAATACTTTTTTTCCCCACTGTATATATACTGAGATCATGTGACAGATCATGTGACACTTAGATTGCACACAGGTGGACTTTATTTAACTAATTATGTGACTTCTGGAGGTAGTCTTATTTAGGGGCTTCATAGCAAAGGGGGTGAATACATATGCATGCACCACTTTTCAATTATTTATTTTTTAGAATATTTTGAAACAAGTTATTTTTTTCATTTCACTTCACCAATTTGGACTATTTTGTGTATGTCCATTACATGAAAACCAAATAAAAATCCATTTAAATTACAGGTTGTAATGCAACAAAACAGGAAAAACGCCAAGGGGGATAAATACTTTTGCAAGGCCCTGTAGTTTTGATGTCTTCTAAAATTTAAAAAATAGTAAAAAATAAAGAAAAATCCTTGAATGAGTAGGTGTCCAAACTTTTGACTGGTACTGTATATATATTATGTCCCCCCTACTTCTAAAACCAAAGTTGCGCCCCTGATACAATGTGTTATATTCTGTGAACTGAATACTTAACAGTGAGTTTTGTATTCACTGAGGACTTTTGTATTTAAAGTTTTGTAAAAGGTGGTCCAAGATACGTAAGTCAGGGACTAAGGCAAGAAAATGATCAGAAGTTCTGTAAATGTACTTAATCATTTGTTCATTGCTGTTCTGCTATAGATACATTTCAACACAGATCGAAATATTGCTTATGTTAATTGAGTTTGTTGTAGATAGTGTGGTATTAGTGGCTGTACTGAGAGAGATAATATATATTACAGGAAGGTCTACAATGTTGTTCGGTTGATGTGCCACATAGATTAACATTTCCAGATGTATAATTTATTCAACGTTATTATGACATTATTATGTGGTCATCATATTGGGCAGTAATAGTCTTGCCCTTCAGAATTAGTGAAGAGAGAGCCAGAGAATGCATCCCGTCGGACAGCATAATACACCATACAGACTGAGCATGAGTGTGGGGTCAGAAGGTGAATGAATGATCGGAACCTCATCCTGGGTGCAGAAAGTTGTTCAAATAAAGAGAGGACCTTTAGTGCTATTCCTGCTACTTACATATGCATTGATCCAGTTTAACCAAGCAGGGGTAGTTTGTTTCAGAGTGAATTAGAATGATAGTTGGTGGCAGGCAGCATAGAGATAGTGGTTGTGGAGTAGGGTCAAAATAGAAAGGGTGGTTATTAAAAGGGTCTGGGTGGGGTGGGTAAGGTGGGGAGGGTGGTTTTTAAAAGCGAGGGGTACCAGGATGATAGTGTGTGGTTCCGACCCAGAGGAATTCCCCTGGGTAGGTAAGATGCGTCTCCACTCCAAATTACCATGTTCATCAGAGATCCCGAAAATGACTACTGCTCCTCCTTCCCTCAGGTCACTATTGTATGTGCGTATATCTATAATTTCGCTAATGTGAAGACTTACCTTTGTGTGCGCACGCGTACGTGCATGTTTATCTGTCTATGCTGAGTCATTTCCTTTATGATGATCACTTGTGGTTTTCCCTTTCACAAAAATGTCATTAACGAGAGAGACCTCAGTCAATCTTATGTCGTCTTTCTTGCTCTGCGTCGAAGCTATCAGGGCAAGAGAGGAGAGCGAGGAGAAGATAAGAGAAAGAGTAGACGAGAGAGTACGATCTTACCCCTCTCCTCGGAGAGAGGACGCTAAGGAGAGGCCTCTAGAGTCTCTCGGAGCATCGCTATATCTCTCTCGAGAGAGAGAGAGAGTATCACGCTATGCAAAGATCCTCTCTCTCTATAGGCTATCGCTCTCTCGCTCGCTCCCTATCTCCTCTCTCCCCTAACTCTCTCTCTCTCTCTCTCTCTCTCTCTCTCTCTCTCTCTCTCTCTCTCTCTCTCTCTCTCTCAATTCACAATTTCAATTTTTAAGGGCTTTATTGGAATGGGAAACCTATGTTACATTTGCCAAAGCAAGTGAAATAGATAATAAACAAAAGTGAAATAAACAATCAAAAATAAACAGTAAACATTACACTCACAAAAGTTCTAAAAGAATAAAGACATTTGAAATGTCATATTATGTCTATATACAGTGTTGTAATGATGTGCAAATAGTTAAAGTACAAAAGGGAAAATAAATAAAGATAAATATAGGTTGTATTTACAATGGTGTTTGTTCTTCACTGGTTGCCCTTTTCTTGTTGCAACAGGTCACAAATCTTGTTGCTGTGATTGCACACTGTGGTATTTCACCCAATAGATATGGGAGTTTATCAAAATTGGATTTGTTTTCGAATTCTTTGTAGGTCTGTGTAATCTGAGTGAAATATATGTCTCTAATATGGTCATACATTTGGCAGGAGGTTAGGAAGTGCAGCTCAGTTTCCACCTCATTTTGTGGGCAGTGTGCACATAGCCTGTCTTCTCTTGAGAGCCAGGTCTGCCTTCGGCGGCCTTTCTCAATAGCAAGGCTATGCTCACTGAGTCTGTACATAGTCAAAGATGTGCTTAATTTTGGGTCAGTCACAGTTGTCAGGTATTCTGTCACTGTGTAGTCTCTGTTTAGGGCCAAATAGCATTCTAGTTTGCTTTGTTTTTTTGTAAATTCTTTCCAATGTGTCAAGTAATTCTCTTTTTGTTTTCTCATGATTTGGTTGGGTCTAATTGTGTTGCTGTCCTGGGGTTCTGTGGGGTCTGTTTGTGTTTGTGAACAGAGCCTCAGGACCAGCTTGTTTAGGGGACTCTTCTCCAGGTTCATTTCTCTGTAGGTGATGGCTTTGTTATGGAAGGTTTGGGAATCGCTTCTTTTTTTTTTCTCAATTTAACGGCTCTTTTCTGGATTTTGATAATAATAATATAATATATAATATGCCATTTAGCAGACGCTTTTATCCAAAGCGACTTACATTTTTAGGTATGGGTGGTCGCGGGGTTCGAACCCACTACCCTGGCGTTACAAGCGCCATGCTCTACCAATTGAACTACAGAGGACCATATTTGGCGGGTATCGGCCTAATTCTGCTCTGCATGCATTATATTTTTTGCAGAATTCTGCATGCTGAGTCTCAATTTGGTGTTTGTCCCATTTTGTGAATTCTTGGTTGGTGAGCGGACCCCAGACCTCACAACCATAAAGGGCAATGGGTTCTATAACTGATTCAAGTATCTCTCTCTCTCTCTCTCTCTCTCTCTCTCTCTCTCTCTGTCTGTCTGTCTCTCTCTCGCTCTCTCTCTCTCTCTCTCTCTCTCTTTGTCTCTCTCTCTCTCTTTCTGTCTCTCTCTCTGTCTCTCTCTCTGTCTCTCTCTCTGTCTCTCTCATATCATGAGCACACCCCTTATTTAGTCTCTACTTGATCATGTATGTCTGGGATGTACTTTATATAGATTTCACAGAACCATGCCATTTCCTGAAACGTGATAACATTGCCTTGGCATGTGCACTCAGAGCTCATATAATGGTATTGTTAATGTATTAATTGTGTTTGTTTCTTGCATTGTACTACTGTAATTGGCCACAGACATAATGGAACCACTTAAGAAATGAAGACATGACATCTTCCAGCTCGGTCTTTAGATATTATACACATGTGCATAACAACAAACAAACACACACACACACACACACACAGCACACGTGCCGCAAACACACTTACAGCTATTGAAATTATTACATTAGCACACTTAACGTGTATGATACTAAGCTTGATTATAATAGCCATTATCATTACACCCTTAATAATATGAGTGACCCAGTTTGTATTGATCTCTGAAATGCATCTTACTGGGTGTTTACCGTTCTGCAGAGTACTGTTCACATGTTGTTGTGGGGTTAAATTGGGGTTAAATTGGATTGAAAGGTTTAAGGCTTTTGAGATAAGTGTTTTATGATCACATGTAGTGAGACACTTGTGAGAGGAGAGAACTGTTTTGATGGGAAAGGGAGGGAAGGGACTCAAGGGACGGTAGGGAGACAGGGATTTGTGGTGAGGATAGAGAGAGGATGTGAGGGAGGAACAGAGATAGAAAGTCAAAGAGGTTTTTTCTTTTTTTCTTTTTTTTTTGAGGAGAAAAGGGGTGGTCCAATATGATTACCCAATGAACCAGAGAGAGAGAGAGTTAGTGAAAAAGAGAGAGCGGGTGTACTGTTATCATTACAGAGAGAGGTACTAAGAGGGTGAAACAAAGAAAGACAAACGACACGCAGAGGGAATTTTTGTGAGAAAGTCTTATCAGCAGCATTGTGTGGCAACTGAAGGAATATCTACATACTTATTGGACTCTCACTCACACACCTGGAGAAACTCTGATTCAAAATACACTTGTAGCTGTTTCGCACATAGGCGCGCTCACAGACAACCCACCTCACAGGATGTCTATGATATGGGGCTGTGTTACGGACTTCTTCACCTACGAGACAACCAAGTCTGTGGTGGTGAAGAGCTGGTCTGTTGGAATCATCAACCGCGTTGTACAACTGCTCATCATCATCTACTTCGTTTGGTCTGTACAATCTGTTTTTGTGAAAATGTTGACCTCTCTCTTTATCATCTTTCTTTCCCCCCTTATTATTTTCTTGCTTCTGATCATTCTAGAACTATTGTTACTAATCCTTCCTTCATTAACCGTCCCTCTCCTGTCATTTTCCACAACCTTCCCCTCCATCTATCTCTCTTTCTGTTTTTGTCATTTAGTTGGGTATTTTTACACGAAAAGGCATACCAGGTGAAAGACTCTGGCATCGAGTCTTCTGTCATGACCAAAGTGAAGGGTTTCGGATACCATAACAACCGTGTGATGGACGTGGCGGACTATGTCGCCCCTACGCAGGTCTGTGACACCCAGACGCCTAACCTTGACTCCTTACCCTTGACCCTAATCTAAAACAACGCTGAAGTTACACTGCAGTGCTAACATAGTTACTGTACACAACTTGTATATTATAACTGTACACTGTGTAATATACACTGAGTATACCAAACATTAGGAACACCTTCCTAACATTTAGTTGTAACCGCCCCCCCCCCCCCCCCCTTTCCCCTCAGAACAGCCTCAATTCGTCGGGGCATGGAGTCTACAAGGTGTCGAAAGCGTTCCACAGGGATGCTGGCCCATGTTGACTCCAATGCTTCCCACAGTTGTGTCAGGTTGACTGGATGTCCTTTGGGTGGCGAACCAGTCTTGATGCACATGGGAAACTATTGAGCGTGAAAAACCTAGCAGCGTTGCAGTTCTTGACACACTCAAACCAGTGTGCCTGGCACCTACTACCATACCCCGTTCAAAGGCACTCACATTTTTAGTTTTTCCCATTCACCCTCTGAATGGCACACATAGACAATCCATGTCTCAATTGTCTCAAGGCTTAAAAATCCTTCTTTAACCTGTCTCCTCCCCTTCATCTACACTGATTTAAGTGGATTTAACAAGTGACATCAATAAGGGATCATAGCTTTCACCTGGATTCACCTGGTCAGTCTATGTCATGGAAAGAGCAGGTGTTCTTAATGTTTTGTATACTCAGTGTACAAAATGTTGATTACACGTTCATGAAATTATTGCAGTATGTACACACACAAAAACTCGCTCAGTCAGCAGAGGTGTGGTACACGAACAGTCTATAGATACTTGATATCATGTAATTGAGCATTTCACTGTGGTGATGTTAAACACTTAAAGGGAAGTGCTTTGTGTGAAGTGATGATGGGAAACTAAATGAAGTCCTTTGGTTGGGTGGAATAAGTGCCTGAGTGGCTCATTAGAGTACATTAGTTAGCATTAGCCCAAGAAACGGGTTAAATAGTATGGCAAAAAACAGGTTGCTAATGATAACAAGAACAAAAAAAGACTAAGACGTTGGTTGAGGCTTTTAGATGATTTTAGCAGTAGGTCTGATAGGTTGACTTGATGATGTTTAGGCTAAAGTGTTGGTTTGTATTTGTTCTGACAGGGTGCCGCAGTGTTCTGCATCATCACCAAGCTCATTGTCACAGAGAAACAGTTCGAAGGCTTCTGCCCTGAGGTGAGTCCGTTTCAGTCCAGTACACATGTACCATGTACCTACCTATTCCAGCACTCTATACCATGTTTTTAACAATAAAATGTACTCTACTCTGCGAAGGCCCGGCCCTTACCACTAACAAAAGCTGAGGCACTTAATATTGGGTGGTGACAGAGCTTCTGGTCGAAGGGCAATGCTACTAATGTCTGTGTATCTGTTCTTTGTGTGGTCAGAGTGAAATGAAGTACAATTGTGACACGGATGAAGACTGTGACAAGCATTTAGGGAGCTTCCTTGGAACGGTGAGGTCCCAACTCTTTTCCTCTTCTTCCAAATAAGGACAGCTCGCGCTCAGCGCGCTCGGAGCGAGCGGCGCGCGCGTGACGCAGCTCGCACTATTCACGAACACTCACCATCAACAGCACGTACCACGACAAAGAACGTAAATCAAAAACGCAAGCACAAACAAACGAAAGAGAGCTAAGAAAGAGAGCGGGAGGCGGAGAAGAGAGAGCGAGAGCGAGAGAGCGAGCGAAGCGAGAAGAGAAAGGAGAGAGCGAGAGAGATCGAGAGAACATATAGATAGGAGAGAGAAGAGACAGCGTAGACTGCGAAGGAGAGCGCTGACTTGTATACAGTAGAGATAGAGATAGAGAATATATCGCGCTCTATCTCTTCGCTTCTCTGCTCTATTTATCCCTATCTTCTGTCTATATCTATCTCTCTCTCTCCTACTTCTCTCTCTTCTCTCTCTCTCTCTCTCTCTCTTCTCTCTCTCTCTCTCTCCTACACAGGAATAATAACTGGTGCCTGTGTGAACTCCTCTAAAGGAGGCCGCTGTGAGATGGAGGGTTGGTGCCCTGCTGAGAATGACAAAGTCAAAATGTAAGACCTCTCTTTCATTTTCTCTATCTCTCTTTCTCTCTCTCTCATAAAAAAGCTGCTTTATATAGACAATTAGATCATGAACATGTGACATATCATGTTTACAACTTGTGCATCCCACCTAACTCTTTCTTCTCTCTCTCCTTTCTCTCCCCTACCCTTTATCAGGCAACCAATGATGGAGGTGGAAAACTTCACCATCTTCATCAAGAACAGTATCCGCTTCCCTATGTTCAACGTCACCAGGTGAGTCGCACACACTTCCCATTTCTGGGGCTGTATTGGGGAAGACCTTTATGATGTTGTGCTTGAGAAGAAGGGGTTTGGCTCTATAACTCTAATTTCTACCTTCCCTCTCTCTCCCACAGAGGGAACTTCCCATCGTCCCTGAATACAACTTATATCAAGAACTGTACATATGACCCGGAGCACAACCGCCACTGTCCATTCTTCAAGGTGGGAGATGTGCTGCGCTACACTGGACAGGAATTCTCCACCATCGCTCAGACAGTGAGACCCACTCCTCCCCTCTTCCCCCTCGCCATCATCCTCTCCTCTACCTCCATCTCTCTCCCCCGAGGGTCTCCCATCTTTCTTTTCTCTCCTCTCCCTCTCTCTCTATTTTTCTGCTTTCTCAACCTCTCTCTTGCCCACTTCTCCCTCTCCATTTTAGATATCTCCAGTCCCACATGCTTGTCCCTACATTTCCTCTTCCCTTCCTCACCTATCCGCCCTTCTCTTCTCTTCTCTTCCCTCCCTCTTTCTCCCTCTATCAGGGTGGAGAGATTGGGATCAATATTGAATGGAAGTGTAATCTGGATGAGTCAGAAGAAAGATGTGAACCACATTACTCCTTTACGCGACTTGATGCTGTGTTTCAAAAGAACGGCATCTCTGAGGGATACAACTTCAGGTACTGTAACCCCTTTCAGTTTAGTACCGTTCAAGAGACTCCCCCTCTTTCTTCCTCCTTCTCCCCATCCTCTTTTGGGTACATTTCCTCCACCCTTTTCTCCTCTCTGTTCTTCTTACCCCCCTCATCCTCTCGTTTTATTTATATGTTCATTGACACTGTCTCCCCCTCTCTCACCATCCACAGATTTGCCAAATATTACAAAATGGAGAATGGGACGGACTTCCGCACTCTCCACAAGGCCTTCGCTATCCGCTTTGACATCCTGGTCACTGGCCTTGTGAGTGTGGATTAGGGCGTGTGTACATGTACCTGTTATCTGTGTATTATATGGGATTCATCTGTCTTTGTCCTTTCAGGCGAGGAAGTTCAACACAGTTCCTACTCTGATCAACCTAGTGGCAGCCTTTACGTCTGTGGGACTGGTAAGGCTACTGTACTCAGACTGTATGCTTTAAAAGGAGGCCATGCAATACGTTTTGAATGTTACCACCATTAACCCTAGAATCGAGGCAAATATTTCAGGATTTGTTCGGTCATCTTGTGTAACTGTCTTTGTTCTGATTTGCTGCAGGGTACAGTCCTCTGTGATATCATCCTTCTGAACTTCCTGAAGGGGGCGGATCAATACAAGGCCAAGAAATTTGAAAAGGTACTTTTTTAATTGCTCAGATATAAGCATATTTTTTTGTGTTATACGTCATTTGTGTGTGGGAGAGAGAGATGAAGAGCATCTCGAGTCTGTCTTATTTTCTTTCTCTCTCCCTCGGTTCCTCTCCCTCGGTTCCTCTCCCTCGGTTCCTCTCCCTAGGTTTCTGAGTCACAGATACAGATATTACTCTCCCGAGAAGGTTGCAGCCAGCTATCAATCAAACCAGAGGAGAAGATTTCAGACGACTCGGGAGCTGTCTCCCTCTACCTGGACCAGCAGCTTTGAGTGACAGTCCACTTCAACTAATCGGCAGAGAGGATTCCCCCCCCCCCACTTCCTTATTTTATCAGCAGCTGTTGATAAGTCTCATGTTCATGTGAGGGAAGGTAACAATTTAACATCTGAGGAACCTTTACAATTGTTTAAAAATATATGTTTTAAGATCTTTTAGGGGAAACTATTTATGAACTCTGTAGCTTAAAATAACTTTATAAACAGTTACTTCAATATACATAAAAGCTTTGTCCTGGTCCCATTGCTTTTGTACATACTATGTAGTTCATATGTTACATTTACCTGGCCTCATCCCTTTCTTCATCTCTGTCTTGCTCTCATAATTTGCATTTGTGATGTTCTATAACGATGGGGGGTTTAAGGGGGTATGAGAAGAGATGACATGGTCCTATAATGATCTTGGACCCCAAAAAAACAACAGTAACCAGGAAATAAAATTGTCGTAATTGACTGAGTCGTGCCTGCTCTATTTTGTGTGTCTCTGTATCTGATTCTATTGCAATACACACCCAATATGCACATGCACATACACACACACATGCACACACAAAACACACATATAAAACCCATGCACTCCTCCTCCCACCACGGACCCATCACAGCACTAATAGACCAGCTAAAGAGCATCTTAAAAGGATACTTCGGGATGTTGGCATTTATCTACGTACTTGTGTGTCAGATGAACTCCTGGATACTGTCCAGTATGAAGGTGAACGGATGATCTCCGCATGTGTGGTTCCCACCGTGAAGCATGGAGGAGGTGTGATGGTGTGGGGGTGCTTTGCTGGTGACACTGTCAGTGATTTATTTAGAATTTAAAGCACACTTAACCAGCATGGCTACCATAGCATTCTGCAGCGATATGCCATCCCATCTGGTTTGCGCTTAGTGGGACTATCATTTGTTTTTCAACAGGACAATGACTCAACACACCTCCAGGCTGTGTGAGGGCTATTTGACCAAGAAGGAGAGTGATGGAGTGCTGCATCAGATGACCTGGCCTCCACAATCACCCAACCTCAACCCAGTTGAGATGGTTTGGGATGAGTTGGTGTCACGCCCTGGCTCTGGGGACTCTAGTATGTTGAGCCAGGGTGTAAGTTTTCATTTGTTTTCGTTCTAGTTTAGTATTTCTATGTTGGCCAGTGTGGTTCTCAATCAGAGGCAACGTGTATCAGCTGTTGCTTGTTGTCTCTGATTGGGAACCATACTTAAGCAGCCAGTTTTCCCACAGTGTTTGTGGGATCTTGTTCCTGTATAGGTTTGTGTTTTGCACCTTTGGACGTCACGTTATCGTTTGTTGTTTTTGTTCGTGTTATCATTCAAATTAATAAAATATGTTCACCTTCCACGCTGCGCCTTGGTCCTCTGTACCTGACGATTGTGACAGAAGATCCCACCAACACTGGACCAAGCAGCGTGTCCAGGAGCCAGCGCCAGAGGTATCGCTAAAGGACATCAACCTCGACTGGGCCTGGCCCACGGGGAGGAGAGACCCCCAGAAAATGTTTAGGGGGGGGCTCACGCCGTGGACGACGGGGCAGCAGGAGGCCGCGATAGAGCGGTCCAGCGGGTTTGCAGAGGAGGCCGCCAGGTTAAGGGGGCCACTGGTCACAGAGGAGAGGGAAAGTGTAGAGGCACGGCGAGAGGTACTGGGGTGTGTTACAAGTCCGGTCCGGCCCGTTCCTGATCCCTGCGTAGGGCCAGTGGTGTGTGTCCCCAGTACGGTCCGGCCTGTTCCTGTTCCTCGCATCGAGCCTGTGGTGCGCGTCGTCAGCCCGGCCCGGTCTGTTCCTACTCCACGCACCAAGCCCATGGTGCGCATCGTCAGCCCGGTCCGGCCCGTTCCTGCTCCCCGCACCAAGTCAGTGGTGCGCTTCGTCAGCCCGGTCCGGCCCGCTCCTGCTCCCCGCATCAAGTCAGGGGTGCGTTTCGTCAGCCCAGCTCGGCCCGTTCCTGCTCCCCACACCAAGCCAGTGGTGTGCGTCGTCAGTCCGGCACAGCCCGTGCCTGTTCCACCGGTGCCTGGTTCGGCACGGGTCAGCTGCTTCACGCCGGAGGTAGAGCAATCCGCTCCACCAGTGTGCAGTCCAGCTCCGGTCAGCAGGGCCAGACCGGACCAGGGGTACTTTGGGGGGTTAGAGAGGGAGTGGGGATCATGCCCGGAGCCGGATCCGCCGCCAAGGCGGAGTGCCCACCCGGTCCCTCCCCTGTGGTGTTTGGTTGGCGCGGTCGGAGTCCGCGCCTTTGGGGGGGGGTACTGTCACGCCCTGGCTCTGGGGACTCTAGTATGTTGAGCCAGGGTGTAAGTTTTCATTTGTTTTCGTTCTAGTTTAGTATTTCTATGTTGGCCAGTGTGGTTCTCAATCAGAGGCAACGTGTATCAGCTGTTGCTTGTTGTCTCTGATTGGGAACCATACTTAAGCAGCCAGTTTTCCCACAGTGTTTGTGGGATCTTGTTCCTGTATAGGTTTGTGTTTTGCACCTTTGGACGTCACGTTATCGTTTGTTGTTTTTGTTCGTGTTATCATTCAAATTAATAAAATATGTTCACCTTCCACGCTGCGCCTTGGTCCTCTGTACCCGACGATCGTGACAGTTGGACCGCAGAGTGAAGGAAAAGCAGCCAACAAGTGCTCAGCACATGTGGGAACTCCTTCAAGACTGTTGGAAAAGCATTCCAGGTGAAGCTGGTTGAGAGAATACCAAGAGTGTGCAAAGCTGTCATCAAGGCAAAGGGTGGCTACTTTGAAGAAACAAAAATATAAAATATATTTGTATTTGTTTAACACTTTTTTGTGTTATTTCATAGTTTTGATGTCTTCACTATTATTCTACAATGTAGAAAATAGTCAAAATAAAGAAAAACCCTTGAATGAGTAGGTGTGTTCAAACTTTTGACTGGTAGTGTATATGTTTTTATATATTTTCCTTTACTATTTTCCCCTAACCCTACCACCCCTCCCCTAATTGGAATAAGCGAATGGACAACAACACTTAGGCCTCAACTTCCAGCTTATTCATACTATATACATTTTATGGACACAGTCTATTTTACATTATCTTTTGTTTGTTTTTAGTCCCATCCTTCAGCTACTCTCAACCCCTCCCATCTATCTCTGAAGACCATCCAGTTTTGATTTCTATTTGCCATATTGTTAGATTCATTTGGATTTTAAGAATAATGACTAAAGGATTTCACCCCAAATACAGTATAAATGTTAGAATTATCATGTAGTGTCAACCCACTAACAGAGGGGGCGGTACTAAACATTCAAGGGTGAAGGGGAAGGCGGAAACTGTTTAGAAAAGTCACCTAAAGGTGGGAGGAGTCAAGTTCAGGAGGTATAAAAACGTATGTTTGTGTCTTTGAAGCCAGAGCTCTCCATGAATAAATATACAGATAAATACTTGTGGGTTGTGGACCTTGAATCATTGATGATTAAAACCAGAGCCTTACAACCTCTGGTAATGATTCAAGCTTAGGTTGAATTAGAGATAGAAATTCACATGACACATATATTTCTCAACTGTGTTGGGATGTTTCACAAAAATTCTGAACCTTTCTATTCTCATAGATTCTACAGATTAAATTAATCTGTAAATTAAAAATAACATAAGTATTATTATATTATTGCTCAATTGACTATGACTTTTCAAATCACCCAGCAGTCCTATTTGCAGAGTTAACTCCAGGTAAATGTTGCAATTATTCAACCATTCCTGAACCTCCGACCAAAAACAAGCTACATATGGAGAGTACCAAAACAAATGATCTAATGATTCTGTCTCTTCACAGCAAAATCTGCAGAACTGGGATGGTTGTGTCATGACTGTCCTGTGAGGATCCAAATAGGTCAGATCAGGTTTGCAATTAATAACTTCAACCAGACCCCATTTCACCCACAGAGAGGAAGAGGAGGGAACTGTGGGGGTTTAACACCTCACGCCCTGTCGTAAATCAAAGGAGAGAAGGCCCAGGGTCTCCCTCTCCAAATTCACAAAGGAATGTGCTTTGTCTCCAGAGATTTTTCCTGCCAAAACTCTAACAAGTTCTAAAGCGAATACTGGAAAAAAAAATTCTAACAGAGAACGTGGGGAATGGTCAGAGGCGACCTTAAAGAACACTGATGTCAGTTTGGTTGTTAATTTGTGATGTCATCAAAAATATTATAGAGGAAATACTGTAAATTGAAAAGTATTTATACTATATGTGTGAAGTGTCCATCCGATGCATTGTGCATGAAATATGAAAAATTATGAAAGTGTTTTTGTTGAGAGAGGGACATGATTTTAGGAGCCATAAGAGATAATAGTTTGACATCTCTTAAGTAGCCATGCCCCGAGTGAGTTCAGAGAGCGTGTCATCCTGACGGAACCGCCCCTTTCGACCAGAGTGCATAAAGGATCGGTAAAGAAATTAACATTCAGACCAGAGAGACGTAGAGCTACAGCTCACATCTAAAGTGGTTCGAACTCTGAATTGCAACACGAGGTGGAGAAGAAAACTCCCTTCCCGGATAATCACTGGTACGGCTGATTAGCTGTCCTGAGTAAAGTATCTAGAAAAGCTAATTTCAGTGGGACCATTCTACTACTCACTTCAAACCATCGTATTCTACTACTCTCATCACCCCACTGGGAACCTTTGACACGGCTGGCTAGCCTATCTTCAAATAATCATCTTCCAGAGCGAATGGAAGTAGAATCAATTCTGTAGTTCTGTTTAGGACTACATGACAAGTCTTTGGAGACTGGACAACTAAGAAGAAGGACATTGTGACCCCTTTTGAACAATCAGAGCCTTACAAGCGTGCCGCGGAAAGGCCCAACCAACCCCCTTTCCAAGAAGGCCAGGTTCCGACAGAAATACACGAAGAACCAAGACATTTACACGTAAATACATTCATGATTTCTTACTCCAAACAGGTGGCGGTTCGTGTGCAAAGTATATGATTACTGTGAGAGTAGTTTCTAAATGTACCAAAGTATTATGTCTCTGTCCCTCTCCCCCTCCTCTCCATTTATTTTGTAACAAGCTGCCATATTGAACAAGTCCGCTAGGGACCTATTTCCATCGTATTAAGTTTCCGGTCAATAACCTGTACAGTGTGTGTGTGTTTATCCTGTGTTATTATTTAGTAGGCTAGTAAATAAATAATTAAACCAATTTGTGTAGTACTGAATCATAAGTAAGGCTTGGTTTTTTGAAGATGCCAGGAGGTTACGACGTTCAGAATGACGATATGATATGAGGTTATGATTAAATAAGTTGACTATTTATCGATGTGATAGGTATAGACCTTTTAGAGTTTAATTTGGGAGATGGTAACTCTTTAAACAACCGCTCTCGTGGTGCCCCATATCCTAATGAGTTCATTGTAACAATTAAACATAGTTAGTTAATTAGAGAAATAACAGTCATCAGATTGATGTTAAAAGTCACGACAGTTGTATCCCCTATATATATAACATTCTATTGATTCATGATTGAATTTTGTATAATAATTTAAATTGAAAAACTCCAAGTTTTGAATCTGGCGTCGTTTTGTGTGTCAGTTCCATGTGCCATGGAATCGGTACATCGAAAATCTCTTCCCAACTATTTTGCAATCTGAATGGCACAGCTGTCATTTGTTTGGTCCTTAAATGAAACTGGTATACTTTTTTATATATCACAATTTTCTTTAACCAATTTTGGTTAACAGACAAGTTCCTTACTTTCTCCCCCTTCCACTTGTCTCTTCCATTTTTGCGGTAATGCTGCAATTAGTTGTTTGTAATGTTGGATAGAGCAGACATTTCCATATATTTTTGTTAGCTGCATGTGTGACATAACTCCACCAGTCCTATTTATGATACAATTTACAAAGATTATACCGTTTTTAAACATTCTTTCCAAAAAGTGTTTTTTTAATCAATTTGAGTTTAACCATAATATTGACATCCGCATTTGAGTGAGAGAGCGAGAGAGAGAGAGAGAGAGAGAGAGGGAGAGAGAGAGACAGAGAGAGAGAGAGAGAGAGAGAGAGAGAGAGAGGGAGGATGGGGATGGAGGAAGAGGGTTGGGTGAATGCTCTGCTGATTACAGGCTGATTAGTGTTGCTGTTGCGTTGAACATTTATTTTACAATCTGCAATGTATACATTTCCAACTTTAATTACTGAAAAAGTTATTAAATTATTGCCACCAGCCAGCAATTGTGACACCATTTATAGCTTTGTAAAATGTTAGGCTTAACATGAGAAAATCACGACCAAATAGGCCTACCAATAAACATTTGTCCATTAGCTAAAGCAAAGCAATAATGCCCTGGCACTACAGAAAGGTATCATCGATTCTATACTGAACAAAAATATAAACACAACATGTAAAGTGTTGGTCCCATGTTTCATGAGCTGAAATAAAAGAGCCCAGAAATGTTCCATATGCACAAAAAGCTTATTTCTATAAAAAATTGTGGCACAAATTTGTTTACATCCCTGTTAGTGAGCATTTATCCTTTGCCAAGATAATCCATCCACCTGACATGTGTGGTATACCAAGAAGCTGATTAAACAGCATGATCATTACACAGGTGCACCATGTGCTGGAGAAAATAAAAGTTTTGTCACAACACAATGCCACAGATGTCTCAGGTTTTGACGGAGTGTGCAATTGGCATGCTGACTGCAGGAATATCCACCAGTGCTGTTGGCAGAGAATTTAATGATAATTTCTCTACCATAAGCCACCTCCAACGTAATTTTAGAGAATTTGGCAATACGTCCAACCGGCCTCACAACCGCAGACCATGTGTAACCACGCCAACCCAGGACCTCCACATCCGGCTTCTTCACCTGCGGGATTGTCTGAGACCAGTCACCTGGACAGCTGATAAAACTGAGGATATTTCTGTCTGTAATAAAGCCCTTTTGTGGGGAAAAACTCATTTGATTGGCTGAGCCTGGCTCCCCAGTGGGTGGGCATATGCGCCCCTGCCCAGTCATGTGAAATATATAGATTAGGGCCAAATTAATTTATTTCGATTGACTGATTCCTTATATGAACTGTAACTCAGTAAAAGTGTTGAAATTATAGCATGTTGCATTTATATTATTGTTCAGTATACTTGTTACAGGCTACTACTTAGCATGATATCTTAGCATTCAACCACTTAGCATGTTAGCTAACCCTTCCCCTAACCCTAAACGTAACCCTTACTTCTAACCTTAACCCCGAAACTAGCTAACGTTAGCATTAGCCACCTAGCCACTATTAGAAACAACAAATTGGAATGTGTAACATCTCATACCTATTGGAATTTGTAACATACTACACGTCCTACAATTCGTATTATGTAATGTAACCTAATGTAACATATCATACTAATCGGAGTGGCACCGATTTTAGTAACATATAATACGTTTTCCTCTGAGACCAGGTTGATCAGTTATCTGTGCAGGCACTGAATTCAAGAACATACCCATTCGTCTCTCCGATTGGTCGGCCGGAAAGACGCGCGTTGGCTCTGAAGTAAACAAAGTGTGTATTTACAACACTTTGCTTGGTTTTATTCATAGCTATTCATGTACAAATCTTCAGAATCTAGCCAGTCGGACAGGAGTGATCTTTTCTGGCTAAAACGCTAGTCAGCTACACAGCTTTAACTTCACTCAACTACAGTAGCTAGCTACTTACCCAGCTAGCTTGCTAAGTAGTAAGCTAACAAGATAGCCAGGCAGTAATACCCTTAGCTAGCTACATTGTGAATGGGCGTTATAACGTCGCTAGCAGTCTTTGGTTATTGAATAACTTGTCCAAGTTGCCAGTAATATAGCTACCCATTATGACAGCTTTTGCAATTATATTGAAAAGTGCTTTCGTTACTATTTAAAAGTGCTATCAAACATAGCTAGTCACCTTGATATTCGTCAGCTCTCTGTGAGTGATGAGTAGCCATCCTAATATTGAGTTGCACCCCCTTTTGCCCTCAGAATATGGATGATTTTCGAGTACATATGTTGTAGAATGAAACGCCTATATGCCTTAAATGCTTATGGATTAAGAACCAATTAAAGGGTTAAAACAGAGCAGAGACATTTCATTAGTGCAAATGCTATGCTTCTGATAAATGGATGGTTCCCTCTAGCTCCCTGCAGCTGGTCTGGGTATGTCAATGACATGTGATGGAGATAAAACTCCTTGTTGTGGCTGTGTGGACATTAGAGTAACAATGGAACTAGTGTTATCCGTTGTTTGTGCTTATGACCTGACACACATAGCCACATGCACATGGTCACAAGGAAAAACCATAGTGGCTCAGGGTCCTTGGAGGATGGCTGTTGGGAAAGGCTTAAATGTATGTTATGGACATGACATGTGTAAACCATGTTTAAGTATTAATTGATATGTTTCATAATGTGTTATGAAATGATAAGGGTAAAACAGAATGAACATAATTGATACTTTGTACTCCAGATGCATGCCTGGATAGTGAATATAGTCAATACAGAGTGTGATTGTTCTTTAACGTACGTATGTATATAATTTCTTGAGGCATGTCACCAATATAATGAGACAAGAGACAGTGTATTTTGATGAGCCAGGCAGGTAAGGATACATATTCACCACTCACACATATAAATATGAAGTTATTAGGATATTTTGTGTATCCTTTGTATGACTAATTTGTGTGTGTATCTGTTTTTGTCAGTCCGGTGGTGTTACGTGTAACAGACAGTGTTCTGGAGGTGAACTTCGTGCTCGCCACTCTCTCTGATGACTCCAATCTCCGTAACCATAACAACAACAACACAAAACGGTAATTGAACATTAACTGTCAAATATTCAGAGCCTCTTTGTACAGGACCCTGCTCTTTACCCAGAATCCTCTCCTCTCTCCCCAGAGCTCGCTCGCCGCCAGCTCCTGACGACTTTATGAACGACGACATCGACTCCTACCTCATCGCCATGAAGACCAGTGAATTAGCGGGTCCCTCTGATGCACCCGCAGCCCGGACCCCCTCGCCCAATCACAAACCAGCCACCTGTAGCTTATCACAGTGCGGGGAAGAGGAGGAAGAGACAGAGGACACTGAAAGACCTCCCAATAAAAAGATGAGCTTTGTTGTCAAAGGGCTTACTGTGAGTTACACAACTGCTGGGATCAAAATGTAAAACCAACCCATCTCTCTCCCACTCCCCCCTCGCTCCCTCAATCCCCGCTCAGTTCCGCTCCCTGTTTTTGGGGTCAGTCTGTCCCACTGATTCTCAACTGACCAATCAAACGATCAAGAGCCAGGAAGTGCTGGCCAGCGACAACGAGGATGACACCCAAGCAGGGGTGGTGGAGATGGAGCAGTGTGTGTTTGTGAGACTGTGTGTAAATCCATTTCACACCACGTATGGAATCCCTGTGAGGACACGGACTAATCTGAATCTGAAGGCTGTATTAAACACACAGGATGCTGAGTTACCCTTATGCAGACCTTTCTAGTTATAATGACCGTTGCAGAATTGAGAAGAAAGTCTGCACACAGATGCTGATAAGATCCTCTCCTACTGAGAGACAGTGACGGGACATTCAGTGTTTTTATTGGATCATGATGATGATGATATCACACTGAGGACTCTGGAGTTATGAGGAATTGGACAACAAGCACTTCCTGTTTATGTTGGCATGTCAATGATCAATGTACACAAGCCCTAGAATAAAACAAACACTATTTTCCTGAGTTATAAAATATAATTGCTTTATTTACATTACAGAAAAGTCTACACTTGAATTAGATGTTTTATGGGTCATTTTTGTGGTTTATAAAATATTTTTAGATGTTGATTTCTTTCCATGCTTGTTAAAAGTATGTCTCCATAGACGGAGTAGAGTTTCTTTTGGAACCAAATGTCTGTGAGCCGCTGTTTCCGGGGAGGGGGACATTGTTGTGTTGCACCTGAAAACTCTTCCCTCTCGTCTGAGGCTTCCTCCTCTCCCTCTTTCTCTCTTTCTCCTCTTTTTCCATCTCCTTCTGCCTCTTCTTCCGTAACTTCTCCTCCTCTTTCTCCCTCCTCTCCTGCTCCCTCCGTCTCCTCCTCCTCTCTCTGGAGCTCAGCTCCTCCTCTTCTTCCCCCCTGACCGTGCGCCCCTCACCTGTCCCGTCACTAAAGTCCTGGATCAGGATTTTGGGGACAGGGACTTTAGGTTCACCTTTCTCCCTGTCCTGTTTGGGCTGCTCCCCTTTGAGCCTGCGGAAGAGACCAAATCGTCTAGGGGTGTCGGTCGGTCCTCTGCCTGGTTTGGGCCCAGTCTGAGGTGGGACAGTGCCTGGGATGCTCCCTGTCACTTGTCGGGGTGATTCTGGGTGTTTTGGAACCTGAATGGGAGCTGTGGTGTTAGGTTGTGGTTGGTCATACTGAATGAGGCCTGTATTTGATTGGTTAGAGTGTGTGATGGTGGGTTGTGATTGGTTGGGGTCGGTGAAGAGATCTTCAGAGAGCCTCCGAGTGAGCTTCCGGGAGCTTCCGGACTTGCAGAGCCGGAAGTCTCCAGAAGGGGTTGCCGAGGATCCATCACAGAGCGGAGTCCTTTGGGAGGAGTCATCCGAGTGTGTGGATACTAGGTTGCCAGATCCAGCCTTTGAGTCTGCAGGAGGGGGGGACTCACTCTTTTCACTCTTACTTTGTGACTTTGGGTTGCCAGGTATGAGAAGGAGGTCAGCTTTCAGTGATTCCCCCTGATGTAATGGTGGAAGGATGTCAGTTGAGGCTTCCTGAGAGGGAAATGTCAATACTTCCTCTTCTTTCTCTCCTTCACTCTCTCTGATGTTCGGGGTCTCCTGATTCTCCTCTGGATGGATGGTGACTGGACTCTGGGGTTCTTCAGGAATCTTCTGGTCTTGGCCTGTTTGGTCTGACGAGTCCGTCTCCCCCTCAGGCTCAGCAGCAGAGGTCAACTCTGGAGAAACCTGGCTCTGATTGGCTGGTGTTATCCTAGAGGGCTCTGTGTGCTGTACCTCTATCTTTGACGCTGTCTCTGTGTGTGTCTGAATTTCATTTGGAGACGCTGTGACCGCCTCTATCCCTGTGTTTGTGTCAGTGGCTTCCTCTATCCCTGTGTTTGTGTCAGTGGCTTGCTCTATCCCCGTGTTTGTGTCAGTGGCTTGCTCTATCCCTGTGCTTGTGTCAGTGGCTTCCTCTGTGCGCGTCTCTGTCCCTGTGTATACAGGTACCTCTATCTCTGACTCTTTCTCTGTCTCTGTGTGTGTTTCTGCCTCCATCTGTGACCCCAAGTCTGCCTCTACTCTTGTGTCTGCCTCTATGTGCATCGCTGACTCATTTTCTCCCTCTACCTCTGTTTCTGTATGTGCCTCTACCTCTGTTTCTGTATGTGCCTCTACCTCTGTTTCTGTATGTGCCTCTACCTCTGTTTCTGTATGTGCCTCTACCTCTGTTTCTGTATGTGCCTCTACCTCTGTTTCTGTATGTGCCTCTACCTCTGTTTCTGTATGTGCCTCTACCTCTGTTTCTGTATGTGCCTCTACCTCTGTTTCTGTATGTGCCTCTACCTCTGTTTCTGTATGTGCCTCTACCTCTGTTTCTCTATGTGCCTCTACTTCTGTTTCTCTCTCTGCCTCAGATTTTTTGTCTGTGTGTGTCTCCGTTTCATTCCCTTTGTATGACTGTGTCTCTGTACGTGCCTCTATCTCCTTGTCAGTATGCGTCTCTGTGTTAGTCTCTTTGTCTCTTTCTGTCTCTGTCAGTGACCCCATGTCTGTTTCTGCCTCTAATTTTATATCTGCCTCTTGTTGCATGTCGGTCTCAGTGTCTGTATTAACATCTGTTTGAGTTTCTGTTTTTGACCCCATATCTGTCTCTGTCGCTACACTTTTATCTGTGTGTTGTCCTTTCTGTACCTCGGCCTCCATTTCTTCCTCTGTCTTGGCTTCTGGGTGAATCTGGATCTCTGTCACTGTTTCCTCCTCTGTCTTTGCTTCTGCATGAGTCTCTGTCTCCTTGCGTTTCTCTGCCTTACCCTTTGTCTCTGTCACTATGTGCTCTGTGATGATACGTGCACTCTCTGTTGACTGTTTGTTCAGTACTTCCTGTGTTTCCATGGTGTCTTTACTGTGGTTAGTTTCCTGTGACTGGCTGAGACCGCCCTGCTCCTCCGCCTGGCCTTGTGAGGTAACGATGGGGTCAGAGGTGAGCTCACACTGCTGGGACGCTACTCTGGCTGAATCTGGGGTCAGCTGGGTCTTTTGGGTTCTGTCCTGTTCTGATGGTTCTTTGTGTTCAAATGGTTCTCTCGGTTCCACTGGTTCCCTGTCCTCTGTAGCTGAAAGCGGAACACCCTGAGCCCTCACTGGACTACCATCCATCTCACTTCCTCTCCTCAGATTCCCTCCCTCGCTTCTCTCCTCCCACACCTCCTCTGAAACCTTCCTCCCCTCTCTGCCTCCCCCCTCCCACTCCCCTGTGTCTGTCTTGCTCCCTCTCTCCCACCTCTTGCGGAGGAGTGAGGGAGAGAGAGAGAGGAGGAAGGGCAAGCGAATCAGAGGGAGGGACATGTTCTCTTTCTCCCTCTCCTTCCTGTTCCTCTCCTCCTCCCTCTCTCGAGCCCTCGCCCATGCCATCCGATATCCGTGGCAACGACCACGGGGGTCAAAGGTGGAGGCGGGCCGTTCCTTCATCCACTTCTCCAGCTCTTTCTCCGTTTGCCTCTCCAGATCCTTACCTGACAGGGGGACAGAACACACCTGGGTGGGGGTGAAAGGGAGATGGAGAGTTGGTAAAAGTGGGGAAACACAGGTGTGTATTGTACATGCATGGTAAGATAGTTCAAGTGTAACTGGTGTACATGAGGCCAGGTGTCTGACCTCTGCGATGAAGGTGTCGTCCTCCTGCTGCACCTGCTCCCTCACACCTCTCAGCCTCTCCAGAGTCTCCATCTGGCCCTCGCACTCCTCCCTCTGCTCCACTCGGCCCAGAGCTCGGCGCACCAACACCACCGCCACCTGGAACAACACACGCACTCCTGATGGAGAGGGTGAGAACAACACACAGGATATGTGGGGAGTAAGAGGTCAGATTAACCAAATCCTCTGTTAGAAAGATACTTTCTTTAGTGTTTAGTATAGATAGATAGATAGATAGATAGATAGATAGATAGATAGATAGATAGATAGATAGATAGATAGATAGATAGATAGATAGATAGATAGATAGATAGATAGATAGATAGATAGATAGATAGATAGATAGATAGATAGATAGATAGATAGATAGATAGATAGATAGATAGATAGATAGATAGATAGATAGATAGATAGATAGATAGATAGATAGATAGATAGATACAGAAGAGTAGGTGAATGACCATAATTTAAGTATAGATAGACTGGATAACATAGATGAATGACTAGATAGATGGATAGATTCATTTATTCATTCCCTCCTTCATTAACAGACCGTAGCAGAAGAACAGGTCCCAGACTCTGAGGAGGGTGTTGAACGGCAGGTGGCGTGTGAACAGGCACATCAGCCAATCAGTGGCGAACATCAGAGGCTCCACCCCGTGTCTCTGCAGGTGCTTGTGAGTTGCGGGACACATCTTCTTCAACACCCAGGTCAGCATGGCCGCGTCAAAGAGAACCCCCTCCTACAGACAACATTAGAGAGACAAGTGTCTGGAGAAATGCTATTCAGCTATGTTACAACAACCAAACCCCTTTACTGATGAAAAACATATTGATGTATGTATGCAGTTTTCACTCTGTGAGTACTCTTTGGATCACTAAATGACCATGGGCAGTAATGTAACATAATCTTACCAGAAGGGGGCTGTAGTAGCCAGGTAGGTACTGTTCACTAATCTGTACAAGGCACCAGAATGCCTCCTATAGGAGGGGAAAGCAAAGGCATTTAAAAACATAAGGTTATTAAAGGCTGTGATTGAGGGAAAGCTAGCCACCTATCCAGTCCTTTCACGTTGTTCAGGTGGATGGATGGTGATTGTATTCAGGGGCGCAACTTTCACTGCATTTTTGTCCCCCCCAGTTAAAAAAAAAAAAAAAAAGAAAATATGCCATTTAGCAGACGCTTTTATCCAAAGCGACTTACAGTCATGTGTGCATACATTTTTTTGTGTATGGATAGAATTGGAATGTGATACAACTCGAGGCAACGGTGTGCTTTAGGACCATGGGACGCCTCCGAGCGGTCGGGTAGGCTGTTTGGAGTGTTTATCCGACTGGATAAAAATAATACAAAATAATAAGTATGTCCCCCCCTTTTAAAACCAAAGTTGTGCCCCTGATTGTAACAGCACCTCAGGAGGCATGTTCATCAGCAGTACAGCTGCTACAGGTCCCTGGGCCTGGCAGTAGCCCTCCTCAGGCTTCAGCTGAGTAAAGGCCTTCAGCACCCGGAACAGACCACGCTGCCTGCTCACACAAACAACACAACACTCAGATCAACCAGGACACTGACGGGATAACACCAGACAATATTTATGAGAGATCGAGAAAGATGTGTCGTAGGTCATCATCGTTCCATAAGTTGTATGTAGTGTTATGAGGCTGTTTTACCCATGGCCATCTCTGGAGAGGAACATCTCATGGAATGGGAACTGGCGGTCTAAGTCTCTCTCGATAACGTCCACACAGCTCTGTAGGGCAGGCCTGGAGTCCAGAGTCTGACAGAGGGAGAGAGATTTACCTGATAACTAGGTTTACTCTGCAATATTTGTATATTTACGGTAAAAATACCATAAAGGCACAATCTGTAAAGTTGAGGTGGTTGCTCTATCTTACCTCGTAGAGGTCCTTGTTGCGGTGCATTCTTTTTGTTGCGCCACACAGCAGTGGCCAACATTTAGCCCTGAGGGATGCTGGGATGCCTTTCTGACACTGCTCTTTGACCTGAGAGACCGGTGGAGGGTAAGGGTCATCCCAGAGTAAATACCTGGGTCTGGTGTCCCAGAAGAGGTTACATCAAAAAGGCCAAGTACCCACCTTGCTGGACTTCTTTAGTAAGACACGATCCCATTGGCTGATGATGTTGATCCACTTAGTCTCTCTCTGTCTAACGAGCTCAGGGGGCGGGCCTTCACTCCTGACACCAACATATCATAAGCAAAATAAGGTGACCACTTTAAACATAACTGTCATAATAACATTTCCAAGTCAGTATCTTTCTAGGGCAGGTAACTAACTCCTCACTTCGGCTCTTTCCTGTTTCTGAGGACCAAAGTCCTCTCTAAGGCAGCCAATTCACCAAAATGTACTGAGGTGAGTGAACTGCACCTTCATGTCTCATCACAGAGAAAGAAAACACCATAAAGATACACAGGAAACAGGAAAACCGCATGGTGGCGGTGTGACTGTCTCCATAGCAACAGGTAAGGATGTTCAAGGACACAGAGTGAGAGAGTGTAGGGGATGACTGTTTACATTTACATTTGAGTCATTTAGCAGATGCTCTTATCCAGAGCGACTTACAGTTAGTGTTAAGAGGATGTCTGTTATATTTGTGTTTGGTTATTACCTGGGTTTATTCTATGAACTAAATAAAGACTGACTTACATTTCTCTCTATAAAAAAATTAAAATACTGTGACACTGAACTGTGATCTTTCGTGGTATAACAGTTATTTTGCATGAAGTTGCAAGTTATAGGATGTGTCTTTAGTGTCTTCTGTTCACCAGAAATGCATTATCGCTCAGTTTGTTTCTCTTATCATAACTAATCAATCGCTTAAAGGGGCAGTGAAGTTAAAAAGGTGATTTCCCTGTTGATGTTTATGATATTTCCACACAGGTCAAAATAATACTCTGAAATTGTGTAAGAGCTATTTGTGTAAGAGCTTTTTGAAAAAAATGCCTGAAATTTCAACCTGTTCAGGTGGGATGGAACTTTTGGCCCACATCATGATGTCACAATGTGATCTGATTATAATAGACCAATGACTGTTCATCGGTGTAAGGGGGTGGGCTCTAGACCATCCTATCAGCCAAGCAGGGCTGTGTATGTAAATATCTTCAAATTTGTTTCCTAAAGCCTACATCAGTGGTCACCAACCGGTCGATCGTGATCGACTGTTCGATCTTCAAGGCATTCCTAGTCGATGCCTAGTTCTACACCAAACATTTCTGTAGAAAAGCCATTTTTTATTATTCGGGTTGCGCTGTTGGCGGTAGGTACACTTGATTCAGAAGCCCTGCGCACAGAGTAGGCAAAGTGTTCCCATTTTGAACCATTTAATTTGTCTGAAAATACAAATTCTGCCTAACCTGCGGACCGGGAGATATGTGCCAAAATCGAGTGCGCCTACTGCACTGGCCAATCGGATAGCTCAAATCACAATTGCGCCTACTGCGCTGGCCAGTCACAGTTGCTACAGTTTCCACGGCCCCGGCCACAGCAAAGTTTGATATTAGCCTATGTGAGATTTCATAACTTTTAAAACCATGACCAGAGAGAGACTGTCAAAATACAGCAAAGAGCTGCTGTTTTATGAGTGAGTTCATGTCTACGTTTTTATTCAGCATTGTCAACACTGTTTTATTCAACACTATTACAAAACATAAAATGCGCTTCTCCCTCCTTCCACTTGACCTGCAGCTGCAATTGATGTGTAGCCAAGTGTAGCCCTATTATTATTATTATTATTGTTAGCAGCTCATCGTGTCTATTTTAATATCGAGGAATATTTCACTTTCTCTGGTCATAGGAACAACATTAATTTTTGCATGAGGCAGTGCGACTCGAGTTTCGCCATCAGTTGGAAGACTGTGTTCCCTCTCTCTGGTCAGTCTCACCAGAGGAAAGGAAGGAGAAAGCAGGGACTGTGAGAGGCGGACCATCGACTGCTCTCTCCATCCCTCCCTCCGCTGAGACTAATGCCGTGTTTAAAACATCTGGGAACTCAGAAATCTCAGACTTTCAACTTCAGTGCTTTCAAGACAACTGGTAACTCGGGGGGGGGGGGGGGGGGGGGGGGAAACTAGATCTGACTGGTAAAAATAGTTTTGAACAGTCATCCAATTCGGAATTCCAAGTCGGAAACTCTGGCATCTTTCTAGAGTACCGACTTTCCGACCTGAAGATCACTGACGTCATGATTTGACCTTGTTTTTTTCAGAGTTCCCAGTTGTCTTGAAAGCACCATGACCATCAGATGCAGGTACCATCAGCCCATTAAAATAAAAAAGCAAATTATTTAAATGTATTTACATTTACTGCACAAACCTCATTCCTACACAACAGTCTTTGTTAGGTTAATGTTACTTTTTTTTAAGTCAAGGGAAATAAATCATTACAAATAGATTTTTGAGTTATTTTCATTAAATAAACACAGTGATGTATAAGACATACAGTGGTGATTTAAAAATAAAATTACAAAGACTGTATGGGGCTTTAAAAAAGAGAGATAGAGAGAGAGCGAGAGAGAGAGCGAGAGAGAGAGTGAGAGAGAGAGAGAGAATGTAAACCCCTGCAGTGAAGAGTGAGAGAGAGAACAGAAACTGGTTTTCAGTGCTGCTTAGCCAGAGACTCTGCTTAGTACTGACCCGACAGTGGATCCATTCCCCAGGATGAAGCCGAAGCGGTCTGTCTCTGTGGCTGGAGCTGGAACACTGACCTCTGACCCCCTGTCAGAACCAGAACTGTCCTCTCCGCTGGGGGGCATCTGGGTCAGAGTGGACGCACTAAGCATCTTACCCTACTGAACAGAAAGAGAAGAGGTCCCAGTTACAAAATACTCATCACTTTTGTATCGCTGTACCAGAGTGTGTCTGTCTGTTTCTGTTGTGTGTATCAGTACTTTGTGTGTGTTAGAGTGAAAGCAAGTACAAATGCGACACAGAAGACGTATCCTGTATATTTTAGATCAAACCTACAGCCTATTGTTACATAAAAAAAGTAATTTAACACAATCTAGGCTACATACATACAGTGTGGTGCTACAGAATCTAGCCACAGCATCAACAGATGAAATTGTTCAATTTGAAGCAGAGGTGAAGCCTTATCTACTTCCTGCCTCGACACTAACTGTGACTGTTACCACACCCGGTAGTTAAAAAGTAGTAATGATGTAAAATGGTGTCAAATCAAATACCTTTGAGTTCTCTCTCCTCTTTGATCACTGGGTGGAATGCTTGCTGGAGAGAAGTGTTTGGTTAGAACGAGATTGGAAAGAAAGAGAGAAACCTTTGCTATTCAGTCTTGCTCTCTCACACACTCATATTTGGAAGTAATTATAGAGTGTGTGTGTGTGTGTGTGTGTGTGTGTGTCAGTGGTGGCTGGTGGGAGGAGCTATAGGAGGACGGGCTCATTGTAATGGCTGGAATGGAATATATGGAATGGTATCAAACAGATCAAACATATGGAAACCAAACATTGATTCCATTCCAGCCATTACAATGAGCCAGTCCTCCTATGGCTCCTCCCACCAGCCTCCACTGTTGTGTGTCTGTGTCTAAATTACTGTGTATAATAGTATTTTATAATAGGAGGGTGATGTTCTGAGGAATAATTCCATATTTTGCTATGCACTGGACAGTAAGTGCATAGCAGTTTGCCACATTCAAAATGGCGACAATGTCTACCCAGGCCTACGCTGCTGTTTCCCACGCCTCTTCTGAGTTCCTCTCCTCTCAGAGCGACAGTGCCAGTGCAGTGACAGTGGTCGCTTGCGTCTAGTATCACAGGTTGTGGGAGCAGGTAGGTTTCTTTCTGTTTTACAATAATTGATGCTGTTTGCAGTTGTATTAAACAAAGTAGTAATTTGACATGTTTATTTCGTTTTTGAATCGCTATTCCTGCATTTTCAATTACAGTGCTTAGAATACTTGCGAAGTAAACGGTCCAGTCTGGACAGCCGTATTCAAGTGCGCAGCATATAATTATTGTTGCCTGGACAGCTTCACTGTCATATGGTACAGACAGCTCAGATAGCCTACTGTCGATAGTGCGTTATTATTCAGTTTTAAATAGAACCGTTTTTCCCTCAAGGTTTATTGATCAAAACAGCCTAGTTAAAGTTATAAACTATTCGTGTTTTAGGAGAAACTGCACGCTTTGTCTTTCAACTTTTTTTGCCAGTGACAACCATATCCCTACAGTTGTAGCCTATACATTGTATATTTTGGGGAACTATAATTGTACGGTAGCCTACAGTATTTATTTGTACGGTCAGTGTGAGTGGCAGTGAAGGTGCTTATGCATGGAGCCTTTGTGTGACCTGTGACGTCGGCCTAAATGCCAGATTGGGGATGGGAGATTAGGAAAGTGCAGGGTAAAGCAGCTGCCTGACGGTCTGTTCACCACCTTACATACACTCACAAAGAGGTATATGTTTAGGATGTGCTCACTGGAGGTCACAGGGGCAGAGAGAGGACGGTTGTTTCTGCTGTTGGACATGTGGGATCAGGAATCCACTATTTTGTCTATTTGACTCATTGACCAACTATTCAACAAATGCTCCATCTCTCTCTCTCTCTCCAGTTTCTTCTTGCTTTGATGTCTACTGCATTGCGTTTGCTTTACTGCTCCAGGCCAGGTAAGACTAGCCACCTGTAAATCAAATTGCATTCATGGGGGGGGGGGGGGGTGTGTGACATGACATGACATGACTGCTACCTGTGTCACTGTCTTCTCTGTTTCGTTGTTAGGCACCTTTGTTATCAGCCCTGGTTTGGTTCGACACTTCAGCCTCAGTGTGCAGAGAGGGATGTACAGTAAGTAACACAAATGTTGATATTCAGTAGTACCCATAACCACTCATTTGATTCAGCTTCATAGCTTTCTCTCTCTCTCTCTATGTGTGTGTGTGTAGAGTATGTGAATGCCAAGGAGCTGCCCCTTGATATGAGGTCAATCACAGACCGAGCTGCTCAGACTCTCCTGTGGACCGAGCTCTTCAGAGGTGACACACACACACCACTGGCGTAATGCAGTTTATCTGGACCCCCCTGCAAAGTTCAGCAATTAAAGTTGGAAATTCAAACATGGCAGATTCTAAAATAAATGTTTGAGGCAACAGCATAATAATCAGCTACAAATTATTTGTTTTTGAATATACAACTGTCCTGTATTAGGTTACCTGAACCTGCATGACATGAGCCGTCCTCGCGCTCTCTCCCAGCTTGGATTAAATGTTGTGGGTAAAACCAGTCTATTAATGCCATATAATAGTCAGTCCACCCTCAAAACACTAGCTTACTAGGGTTTGTTTCATTATGCAGTGTACTATCTATAGCTATATACCGTATTTAGCTGCTATTTATAAACTTTTTATAAAAATGACATCAAATAGCCTAACAATGAGGAAAAAAGTAGTCGGCTTAAGGATAAATTCAGCCACTATTTATTGTTGAACTCAGCGAGTTTTGTCTGGCTAGTAGCCTACACAAATGGGCTGCAATATTCAAGGTAAATTCAATTGAATCCAACTTGAGAGACTCCCCTGGTCTCCTGAAGTCCTCCTTTTTTGTGTGCAAATGTTTTCACCATGGCCTGTAGGTCCAGGTTGCGGGCCCGACTGTTTTCTATACTGAGTATTGCCAACCCAGACAGTCTTTCCTGAGACATTCCTGAGTGCATTATATGTCCATTACTCTGCACACAATTTATATTTAGTATTGAATGATGCATGCCAAGATATACCAGAGATAAGGGACTGTTGATATTGCAACCACACAACTCAAACGCTGGTTCACCATGTATGAACGAAATCGCAAACAGCTTTCTTTGTTCAAGCCCTCAAGAACTGTTGTATGCTAAAGATGATAATCTGTTTGCATCTGGCAATTTATCGGCTGTCCTGTATCCAGACGACCTGTCCCCAGAGCTTCCGGTAGGCTACAGTTAATCTCTTTCCGTAACGCGTTGAGGCCGGCAATTAAGGAGAATGAGAGGCTCAATTAAAGATGTTAAACTTGCTCATTTTGAAGCACAACTCCCTTCTTCACAGTTTTCCTGATGTTGCTATGGCAATATAGCTGTTTTTACCATCCCTGTAACTGTCGCTTCTGTGGAGAGATTGTTTTCTTAAACTAAAAACCATAAAGAACTACCTAAGAAGCATTAGGCTCTCAGTCTGATATGTGATTTTGAACACCTGAGTAAGCTCCACTCATTCACGTTTTCAGTCACATTCCTGAAACGCAAGAAACAAACGCTTAGCTTCCTAGTACATATGGAAATTAAAAAGGTTTATGAAATACTTTTTGTAGGGTTACTGTCAGTGATTTATTAAATATAATAAAATGGACATCGATGACAGGCGCATGGGACCCCAGAGCTTGTGGGCCCCCCCGCCTTGCGGGGGCTGCGGGGGTTTCCGGCACACACACACCATAAATAACATTTATTTACCTGTCTTTCCCACACACTCCTCTAGGATTGGGGATGACTATGAGTTACCTTTTCCGCGAGCCCGCTACCATCAACTACCCCTTTGAGAAGGGTCCCCTGTCTCCTCGTTTCCGTGGTGAACATGCTCTGCGCCGGTACCCCAACGGAGAGGAGCGCTGTATCGCCTGCAAGCTGTGTGAGGCTGTCTGCCCTGCCCAGGTGACCCCATACACAACTACTGCACCCATATACACCCCCATACACACACTGGTAATACACTACACTGCCCTCAATACCCTGGTCACTATACACACTAATACTACAAACTACTGTATGTAGGCATATATATCAGTAATACCTGCTTGTATGTACACTATATATACAAACATATGTGGACACCCCTTCAAATTAGTTGATTTGGCTATTTCAGCCATCCCATTGCTGACAGGTGTATAACATTGAGCACACAGCCATGCAATCTCAATAGAGAAGCAGTAGAATGGCCTTCCTGAAGAGCTCAGCGACTTTCAACGTGGCACCATCATAGGATGCAACCTTTCCAACAAGTCAGTTCGTCAAATTTCTGCCTTGCTAGAGCTGCCCCGGTCAACTGTAAGTGCTGTTATTGTGAAGTGGAAACGTCTAGGAGCAACCACGGCTCAGCCGCGAAGTGGTAGGCCACACAAGCTCGCAGAACAGGATCACTGAGTTGCGCGTAAAAATCGTCTGTCATTGATTGCAACACTCACTACCGAGTTCCAAACTGCCTCGAAGCAACGTCAGCACAAGAACTGTTAAATCGGGAGCTTCATGAAATGGGTTTCCATGGCAGAGCAGCCGCACACAAGCCTAAGATCACCATGGGCAATGCCAAGCGTCGGCTAGAGTGGTGTAAAGCTTGCTGCCATTGGACTCTGGAGCAGTGGAAACGCGTTCTCTGGAGTGATGAATCACGCTTCACCATCTGGCAGTCCAACAAAATAATCTGGGTTTGGCAGATGCCAGGAGAATGCTACCTGCCCCAATGCATAGTGCCAACTGTAAAGTTTGGTGGAGGAGGAATAATGGTCTGGGGCTGTTTTTCATAGTTTGGGCTAGGCCCCTTTGTTCCAGTGAAGGTAAATCTTAACGATACAGCATACAATGACATTCTAGATCAGGGGTGTCAAACGTCCGGCCCGCGGGCCGGATCAGGCCCGCAAACGGGTTTAATCCGGCCCGCGAGATGATTTTGAAAAAATAAAAATAAAATAAAATATTTGTAAAGTATAAAAATGCGCTGCATTTTTTCAATAAAATAAACTGCTGTTCCAATTGCGTCCACTGGATGGCACAATAGCAATTGTGTTAAGCAAGCAAACTGTTTACACCGGGGCAGAGCAAGTAGGTCAAGCACGTGCAGCCAATGAGCTACTTTGTTTTGCCCGCAATATTTATTACGGCTTCTACTTTTAACATTATGTGCTTTGGCACCCTCATTGCCCCAATATGTCTCTGTCAAAAAAGAGAAAAGTGGACGCAGAGTGCAGAGTGTTCCAAGAAAAATGGTCATCCTATTTATTCACGGAATTGAATGGGAAAGCTGTATGTTTGGTGTGTTCAGAGCATGTTGCAGTGCTGAAAGAATATAACCTTCGTCGCCACTATGTGAGTCTTCATGCCGACAAATATGACAACTTTCAAGGACAGCGGAGATGAGAGAAGGTGAATGAACTGTTGGCGGGTCTGAAGAAACAGCAGTCTGTGTTTACTCACAGCCGAGACATCAGTGATGCTGCAGTGAAAGCTAGCTACCTCATTGCTAATGAAATCGCAGTGACTTCAAAACCATTTAGTGAGGGTGAATTTGTAAAAACATGCATGATGAAGGCAGCGGAGATTGTGTGCCCTGAAAAGCGGCAGGCTTTTGCAAATATCAGCCTGACAAGAAACACAGTTGCAGACAGGATTTCCGATCTTTCAGTGGATTTGGACAGCCAGTTGAAGCAAAAAGTAAAGTCATTTATTGCGTTTTCGGTTGCAATTGATGAAAGCACGGACATTACAGATGTTGCACAACTGGCCATTTTCATCCGCGGAGTTGATGACACATTGACCGTCACCGAGGAGTTCGTGGAGTTGGTGCCGATGACAGATACAACGACAGCAGCTGATATTTTTACCGCACTCGTTGGCGCGCTGGACAGGGTCGGAGTGGACTGGTCCCGCGCTGTCAGCCTGGCTACAGATGGTGCACCCTCAATGATCGGGAAAAAAGCAGGCGTTGTGACAAAGTTCAGAGAGAAAGTGCAATCTGTAAATGGAGGACGTGATTTTTTGACTTTTCACTGTATTTTGCACCAGGAGGCTTTGTGTTGCAAGTCATTAAAGATGGATAACGTCATGAAGGTGGTCATCCAAACTGTTAATTTCATCCGATCCAGAAGCCTGAATCACCGTCAGTTTGACAGCCTTCTCAGAGAGAAAGACCACATCTATGGCCTGCCATACCACACTGAGGTAAGATAGTTAAGCCGAGGTGCTGTGCTGAGGCGTTTCTTTGATTTACGAGAAGAAATTGAACAGTTCATGGAAGAAAAGGGCAAACCAGTGTTAGAATTTCATTCCGCAGAATGGATGCAGGACCTTGCATTTATGGTGGATGTTACAGAGCACCTGAATAACTTGAACAAACAGCTGCAAGGGCGCAACAAAGTTGTCACGCAGTATTATGACAGCATACGTTCTTTCAAGTTGAAGCTGTCATTGTGGGAGACGCAACTTGCCGGTGGTGATGCAGCTCACTTCCCCTGTCTGAAAAATGTATGCGCGACCCAACATGTGGCAGACATGAAGCGGTTCAAAGATAAAATAACGGGACTGTTACGGGAGTTTGAGCAACGCTTTCAGATTTATGTTTATATGTTTTTATGTTGATGTGCTATTGTTTTTAATTTATTTTATTTTATTTGTATATTTAACCTATTCTTGACTCTGTGGTTCTTGCACTTGTTTGGGGAACAGGATTTCATTATTTGTATCTACATTTCTGCCTGAGAAATGACACCCTGATATAGTTCTGTGATCTGTGAAACAGTTCTGTTAATCACTGAGGCATTGTGTGTTCTTTTTCTTTAGAATTTTCAAATTAACTTGATGTGTTTTATGATTAATAGTGATGTTGTGCTTGTACTATTTTGGACACACTGTCCTCAGGCTCCAGCTTTATGTTGTATATTGATCGTATTAAAACAAAGATAACAATCTGAAGTTGTTGTTTTTAAGTTATATATACCATGATTTTTCCGGTCCGGCCCACTTGGGAATAGATTTTCCTCCATGTGGCCCCTGAGCTAAAATGAGTTTGACACCCCTGTTCTAGATAATGCTGTACTTCCAACTTTGTGTCAACAGTTTGGGGAAAGCCCTTTCCTGTTTCAGCATGACAATGCCCCCATGCACAAAGCGAGGTCCATACAGAAATGGTTTGTCGAGATCAGTGTGAAAGGACTTGACTGGCCTGCACAGAGCTCTGACCTCAACCCCATCAAACATCTTTGGGATTAATTGGAACGCCGACTGCAAGCCTGGCGTAATTCGCCCAACATCAGTGCCCGACCTCACTAATGCTCTTGTGGCTGAATGGAAGCAAGTCCCTGCAGCAATGTTCCAACATCTAGTGAAAGCCTTCCCAGAAGAGTGGAGGCTTTTATAGCAGCAAAGGGGGGGACCAACTCCATATTAATGCCCATGATTTTGGAATGAGATGTTCGACGAGCAGGTGTCCACATACTTTTGGTAATGTAGTGTACCTGCAGTCCACAACACTATCCAGGGTATAGGTAACTTCATATACTTTACTGTGCAATGCTACCCCAACCAGGTAACCCCTACAAAGTCCAGTTAAGTCTCCCCCACAGGTAATTGCATGCCCCCCTGCACAGCTCATAAGGTTCACACTGGCTATGTCCAAACTTAAACTGAATACTAATTTTAGCGTTTGATCTAGTAGAATTCACTCTGACTCAGGTGTTTGACAACAACTGATAATCAGATCAATTAAAGCGCTGTACCAAAATGAATGAATGGCGGGAGTCAACGTAGTCGCTCATTAGATAACCATTCGGAGTTCTTTCTTTGACATTTCACATACTATTACACTTTCTTTATTCGCATACTATTTAGTACACTGGAATGGGTATGCGGACACTGCCTTTATTTATTTCCCTCGTCCTGCTCATTCTGTCCCCTCTCTGCTGCCACCCTGTGTCTTTCCCAGGCCATTACCATTGAGGCTGAGACGCGTGCAGACGGCAGCAGAAGGACCACTCGCTACGACATCGACATGACCAAGTGCATCTACTGTGGCTTCTGCCAGGAGGCCTGCCCTGTTGACGCTATTGTGGAGGTAAACAGCTGACAACCCATCTCTCTCTCATCTTGTCAAATTCTAGTGGCTTTGGTCATTTTAGAACAACTTTCAGTAGCCTATTCCAGAACTTCTGGAGTTTTCTAGGGCTAAGGGTTTCTGGATTTATTTATCTTTTTCATGTCCCTCAGGGACCAAACTTTGAGTTTGCCACGGAGACCCACGAGGAGTTGCTGTACAACAAAGAGAAGCTTCTGAACAATGGAGATCAGTGGGAGTCGGAGATTGCTGCCAACATACAGGCAGACTACCTCTATAGATAGACCATCTTACTGGCAAACCAACCACCATCATACTGGCAAACTACCTATACTATGCATACTGTAAACACTTAGACAATCCTATGTCAATGAATACACCAACAACGCAATAGATCATACTTTTAACAAAGAGCCAGTAGGCATATTGTCAAAGGCAAATAAACACGCACAAGTGTAAAAGCAAAAACGCACACATTTTCACTAAACACCTTTTGATTGAAGTGTATACCTCATGCAAAAGTTGTAATATATGAGATTTTGAATAAGCATTATAACTGCAGATTTAATTGTAGTTTATTTGTATGAAGAAAATAAATGATGACGTTCTGAAGGCCTCCTGTTTGCACTTTTTCATACTGCTTTAGGTATGAATTACATGTGTGATTTAATGACGATTAGAAAGTGATAGCTTGGCACTGTAGATAGCTTGAATAAAAAATATTATAGCTTGCACTCTTTTCCATTGTCTTGAAATAATTTGGCCAAATTGCGGAAGAAATGACTTAAAACAAAGCAACCATGGCAAAAACATGCGTGTTACATTTGACAAAACGTTAATATATATTTTTGTTTTACCGTAATACAACTGTCCTGATTTATGCTTTACTACGTGTATGTCATTGAGAGTCTCAACCGTTATTTTATAGCTCAATTGTTGCAACAAAAAGAGTTTATCGCTGGCGTTGATCACATGATATGGGCGGAATCTGACTCCGGTCCACGCTGAATCTCCCGCGAACGCAGCCATTTACTCTTTTCCTCTTCGTTTCAACGCCGGGTGAGTCTGAACATTTTTCCTGATGTGATGCTAGTTTAAATTCAATTTCTAATCATTGTGGATCAAAATTGGGACAGTCAGAGACAGTAAAGTACGTTCTTGGTGTATTTATACCTTCAGTTTAGTAATTATTTTGACAATAAGCGAAGTTATTAGACAGTTTTATTGATTTCCAAGACCATGCTAGCTAGCACGTTAGCTTTGTGATAAGATTCGCTCTATTAGCGAAATGCTAGCTAGCTAACGTTAGATGGCAACTTTAATTTATTGTTCCGTTTCTAGATGTGATTGAGGATGTTTAGTTATAGATTGTTATTGCCCATACACATATCAGATTCTAGCAGATTTAGCAGGGTTAGTTTGTTACATAACCATTACTTAGGCTGTTAACTAACCAGGGAACAGATTGTGCTACACAGACATTGTTCCAGCCGAAACTAGAAAAGTGCGGCAGCCTGCTGAATGGCGCACTCATCAAATGCTAACTAGCTTGGCGCTAGTTAGCTATCCTCTGCGTTTAGACTGCAAGCTGTGCTAGCTAGCTAACGCGTGACATCAAATCAAATAAACTGATTTAATACTATATTTAGAAGGCATAACTACAGGGCTGAATTTAGGTTATCGGTCGGATATGTTACACGTTTTAATATCCTGATTTGTCAGATGTCCGGAAATATGCAATGGTTTAGGAATAAGTTGCTAGTAAAAAAAAAAAAGCGCAGCTAGTTACCCAGGTTGCTTGTTGGTTAGCTTGGACGCGTGCAGCTATGTCGAAAGGTTGTTTGGTTGTTGTAGTTCAGTGGTTCCCAAACTGTGGGGCAGGGGTCCTTTTATTTTATACAAAGGAACTCAGTCCGTGTTTAAACTTACTTTTGAATGTTGTAATAGTAGAATGTACAAGGTGCAATTTCTAAATTGGGTAGTGCATCATCAGTTCCTCTTGTCATGTTAGTCATTGCACACCTTAGAGGGTTATTTATAACTTGTCAGAAATGTCCAGATCAGCTAGCCCATGTCAGTTAATGTTTCTTTATTTAGGTTTTTTAGCCCATGGATATTGTTGTAATTTGTGTCACTCAATATCACCTGAATGCACATTCAACATGGCAAAATGTATAGAATTGTAAGAAAATTAGCTTTAAAACTGCAACATTTTCTTTGCGCCCCATGAGAAAATGTGTAGAATTGCAGGAAACAAGATTTAAAACTGCAACATTTTCTCCACCAACAAGAACAGTTTGTGTCATGAACAGTGCTTGTGCCCATAGAAATAGACATGGCGCTTGCGCACAGGATGTTACCGAGTGGAAAAGGTTTGGGGACCCCTGTTGTAGTTTAGCAATCTCATCATTAACCACTACTAGTTAGTTAGTTGATCCAGCTAACCAGGGTAGCCAGCTAATTTAGCTAGCTAACATACCGCCCTGTCTGTGCTTTAGGAGAACATAAAAAACCACAACACATTCAACAATGGCAGAAGGCGAGCCGCAGGTCCAGTTCAAGGTGAGGATTTTTCCTTCTATCTCACACATTTACTGTTTATTTGGTTTTGGAACCTGAAGCAGGATTATGTTGAGTTAGGTCATGACTAGCGAGCTGCTGTGTTCCAACTCCTAACCCTCTTACCATCTCAGCTTGTGTTGGTTGGCGATGGAGGAACGGGAAAGACCACTTTTCGTCAAAAGACATTTGACGGGAGAGTTTGAGAAGAAATATGTTGGTAAGTCACTCTCCATCTGCATGTAATTACTTATACCAACACAGCCAATTTACAGTGAGAACCCCCAACACTACCACATGTTAGGCCTCTGCACTCAGCCTGTAGTGGTAGAATGGTTTATCAGAGTTGTAGTCATTGGGAGGGAGCTGTGTCACACTGCAGAGGCCTCCAAAAGGAGCGAGGGGATACATGGAGGCACCAGGTAACAATGTGCAGCAAGGGTGAGACTGAATGAATCAAAGAGCCACCATTCAAGCACCTACCTTGTAAACATCTCTAGTGTTTCTAAACCGGCTCTTTCTCTTCTCACCCCCCCCTTATTTCTTGCTACCTCTCCCCGCCTCCCTCTCATCTCTCCCTTCTTTCGCCTGTCCTGCTGGGTTTCCGTTCTTCTCCCCCCTTTCTCTTCTTCCAGCCACACTGGGAGTGGAGGTGCACCCGCTGGTTTTCCACACCAACAGAGGGGCCATCAAATACAATGTGTGGGACACAGCCGGGCAGGAGAAGTTTGGAGGGCTCCGAGATGGCTACTACATCCAAGGTATGGTATAAAAGTGCTTATTAGCTTGGCCTGGAAGTTTTGCTGACCAGGAGGAAGAATTCTGGGTCCTAGTTACTAAAAAGAACTCCCTGCTCTACTGACATACTTGCCTACAGAGCGTTGTATGGAAGGTCACTGGCCAGTTCTTATAACCGAGGGCCAAAGTTCAGCACCGATTTTTAACCTTACCCTGAAGGGTAAGGTTAAAGTCCATGAAGAAGTTGGCACCCCCAGGGCCAGGAACTGTCTAGTAGAGAATGACAATAGCTATTCTAACATGGGTAAACCCCCCCCCCCCCCCCCCCCCCCTGTGTTGAGTAGATTCATGTTGTGACTCTCCCTCTCTATTTCCTTCTCTTGCTTTCTTTGCCTCTTCACTCTGAATCACCCTCTGTACTTTTTCTCTGCTCCCTCTTTCCTCTCCACTCTCCTCCTTTGTATTCCCTCGCCTTCCGCTCTCCAGCCCAGTGCGCGATCATCATGTTTGACGTCACGTCCCGAGTCACCTACAAGAACGTACCCAACTGGCATCGTGATCTGGTGCGAGTCTGTGAGAACATTCCCATAGTCCTCTGCGGCAACAAGGTGGACATCAAAGACAGGAAAGTCAAAGCCAAGAGCATCGTATTCCATCGCAAGAAGAACCTCCAGGTAATTATTACACACTTTAATATAGTTTACTATTGGTGTTGTATAGTAGTGTATTTGGGTTTCTGTGCAAACTGAGACTGGCCCTGATGAAATAATGGGTAAATAATCATTTTAGACCTTGTGCCCCACAGCAAGGTGATGATGATGATGATAATGATAACCCTCTTTTCTCCTTCTCTCACAGTACTACGACATCTCTGCCAAGAGTAATTACAACTTTGAGAAGCCCTTCCTGTGGCTAGCACGGAAGCTGATTGGAGACCCCAACCTGGAGTTCGTGGCCATGCCCGCTCTCGCCCCCCCCGAGATTCTCATGGACCCCTCCCTCGCTGCGCAGTACGAGCACGACCTCAAAGTGAGTAGAACCCCACAGTGGCCCAGCACGGGTAGATGGACTGCATAGAGACGAAACGGTCAAACGTTGTCCGATTTTAAATTGGATAGGAATGATCTTATCAATGTCTTACCATATGAAATAGGATCAGAATGGCTAGATGATAACATTCATCAATGTCTTCATTTATGTTTCTGATTGTAAATGGTATATCGTCATAACCCTAACCGTTATTCACTTTCTCCCCCCTCTCCAGGTTGCATCAGAAACAGCGCTCCCAGATGAAGATGATGACCTTTAACCTGTTATGTATGTATGTATGACCCCACCCCCGTGTCGCAGGAAGTTGTTGGATTTTGGCCCCTTTAATGTAAAATCCCGTTGCTGATTTATTTTTATTTTTGAACTCTCCGTTTCGTTTCTGTTTTCAAACTGAAAAAAGTGGAAACTTGGTCAAGTCATGTGGTTCTCTAGTTTCATTGTAAGACACCCACCCTAGTGTTGGCATGGCAATGTGCTACTCACCATCATCAAGCACCACCCTCTGCCCTTACCCGGCACACACGCTAGGTTAAGGCAGACTGAACGGAAGCACTTGGGGGAATAAACTTTGAATAAAAACATTCTCAATACAACATGCAGTTGTCTTTGACTCATTATTTTGCTAAGTGTTTTAACATGTCGTTAGGGGTAGAAGTTGAGCATGGTAGACTCAAATCTTTCCAGTAGCTGATTGATTAAGCATACTTGCCAGGGTTGGGGTGAATTTCAATTCAGGAAGTCAACTGAAATTTTAAATGTTCTCTATTTCCCTACGAGATAAATTATTTTATTGGAATTTCCAGAATTTAGTGGAAACTAAATGGAACCCAACCCTTATACTCTCTGCTTTGTGCCTGTGTGGTTTAACTTCTTAAGTATACTCCACCTACCCAGGTTCCTTTTTTATATGACTTACCAATTCAACAGAAGAATTGAGGGATTTGATTTTAAATATCTCCAAGGTCCTAGTGGGAATATCAACCATTTGGTTAAAAAAATGCTGGGGATAAAGGCAGGTGAACTAAAATGTTTTAAATGGTGAGGACATGTAGCACACTGGAGATATGTATTCCATCCCATTTGCTCAGGAGGACTGCATTGCAGACACCATGGTTTAAGAGGTGCCACTGTTGTTTTATATGGTCACAGACTTGAGGCTAATGATATATATATATATACTGAACAAAAATTATATATGCAACATGTAAAGTGTTGGTCCCATGTTTCATGAGCTGAAATAAAAGATCCCAGAAATGTTCTGTACGCTCAAAGCTTATTTTTCTAAAATGTTGTGCACACATTTGTTTACATATCTGTTACTGAGCGTGTGTCCCATTTGCCAAGATAATCCACCCACCTGACCAGTTTGGAATATGAAGAAGCTAATTAAACAGCGTGATCATTACACAGGTGCACCTTGTGCTGTGGACAAAAGGCCACTAAAATGTGCAGTTTTGTCACACAATGCTACAGATGTCTCAAGTTTTGAGGGAGATTGAAATTGGCATGCTGACTGCAGGAATGTCCACCAGAGCTGTTGACAGAGAATTTAATGTTCATTTCTCTACCATAAGCTGCCTCCAACATTGTTTTAGAGAATTTGGCAATACGTCCAACCGCAGACCACGTGTAACCACGCCAGCCCTCCACATCCGGCTTCTTCACCTGCGGGATCATCTGAGACCAGCCACCCGGACAGCTGATGAAACTGAGTATTTCTGTATGTAGTAAAGCCCTTTTGTGGGGAAAACTCATTATAATTGGCTCGGCCTGTCACCCAAGTGGGTGGGCCTATGCCCTCCCAGGCCTGCCCATGGCTGCGCCCCTGCCCAGTCATGTGAAATCCATAGATTATTTCAATTAACTGACTTCCTTATAAGAACTGTAACTCAGTAAAATCATTGAAAATGTTGCATTTATATTTCGTTCCGTATATATATAAACCCTGGATTTCGGTACTCTACCCTGCACCTTAGAGACTACTGTTCAATGTACATAGTAATTGAACACTGGTCACTTTAATAATGTTTACATGCTGTTTTACCCACTTCATATGTATATATACTGTATTCTAGTCAAGGCTCATCCTATATAACTACTGCTCTATACCTTTTCTACTCATATATTGTCTATACACACCATTATATACATATTTATATTCTGGACTCAGACATTGCTCCTGATATTTCTTAATTTATTTAAATTTGGGGGGATTTGTGTGTATTGTTAGGTATTACTGCACTGTTGGAGCTAGAAAAATAAGCATTTTGCTGCACATGCGATAACATGCGCAAAATATGTGATGACCAATATCATTTGATTTTGATTGCTGATCCTGTGGGCTTTGAAGCCACCGGTAGGCCATATTGGCACTCCCCATATTGGCGCTCACATATCATTTAAAAGTATGCATTAAGGTGTCTGTAATAGAATACATGTGGCAAAAACGAATGTAGACATTATTAAATGCATTTTTATAGCTTCCAAAATATGTTTTACAACTGTGTTGTAGTGCCAAGATGGAGGCTAGGTGGTTTCAACACAGCGCCACCTATCAGTAATCTAATGTCTATATAAATCATTGGTTGTGGCCTATTCCCTGCGCGCCGCTCTATTAGGTTGCAGTTTGTCGGAACGACCACCAGGTGTCATCCTTGTTGAGTCTTAGAGAAATAAACATTACCCGTCCCGCAAAGCTCTGATTGTCGCCTGCCTGATTGTGGACTCGTGACCGCCGGTGGTCCAATCAGAATGACACCGTGCAGGATTTCAACAATTCACGAACGTTCCACAGTCCTCAAATTCACATGAATATGATTTTTGTTGATTATTGATTGGTTATGTCTGTGAACTGGTTAGTGTGTGTGTTTTGAGAGAGAGAAAGGAGAGTATGGTATTGTGCGCTAGACCAGACGGTTTCTTGCCCACTCTAATTCGTGTTGGTGCCATAATAAAACACTACCGTTTCTTTATCCGCTTAGCCTAGAGAGAGATGACATATCTGTGTGACTGTGAATGAGTGTGTGTGAGAGAAAGGGGGCAGAGAGGGTTTTTTGTTAATGAATGTTAGGTCCCACTGGAGGTGAGGCAGTATAGGCTATAAACATCGACCCTGTGTAGGCCTATTTACTAGTGATGGGTCATGCGCACAAGCATCGGCTCTGAGAGCCGGCTCTTTGTAGTGAATCAGAAGAGCCGGCTCGCATCGAGTGAGAGCCGGCTCCCAGTTTTTTGCCCATTCGCTGCTTAGGTTTCACTTTCACAGAGGTCTGTTATGATTGGCCAGCATGGCGACCAGCATGCGGCATTCACGTGAGAATTAAGGATGTGTAAACAGAGAGGGGGCGGGGCAGACACACCACTTGACTCCACTGCAAGTGAAGAGAGAGACAGAGCGGACTGAGGAGCGTGTGTGCGTCTTGCATTGTCGTGTCGTTTAACTATGAGTGACACTAGAAAGCGAAGCAGCATCTGGCTGCAGTTTAAAGATATTGGGAACAAGAAAGCAGAGTGCCTTCACTGCAAAACGAAGGTCACTATAAGAGCAGGTTCCACCACAAACCTGCATAGACATACAAGAACTGTCCATCCTACAGTGCAGTTAGAGGAGAGAGGGCAAGCCAGCTCACCATCTACTGATCCTGGTGTGTCTCATACCAGAACAACAGCTGCTGTAACGTCTACTGCCATCCCCATGCGTGCAAGTATAACCTCTCCTACTGCAACTCAAAGCAAAATAAGTCAGTTTTTACCTAAACTTTTACCTAAACTGATGACCCCAGCCAAACAGCACAGTATTGATGATGAGTTGGCTAAAATGGTAGCTTCTGATTTTCAACCCTTTTCCATTGTGGAGGACAAAGGAATGAAAAACTTTGTCAAAGCCCTAAATCCCACATACACTCTACCCAGTAGAAAAACACTTTCCCAAACAATGATCCCAAAACTATATGACACAGAACGTGCATTATGGCAAGAAAGGGTGACAAAAGCTCCATCAGTTTGCCTGACAACTGACTGCTGGACCTCCAGAACAACCTGCTCTTTCATGTCTGTCACTTGCCACTTTATTGAAGATTACAAGATGACATCTTGCCTTCTGGACTGCTTCGAGTTCACCGACAGACACACTGCAGAAAACTTGGCAGTGGAGCTACTAAGAGTGGCAAAAGAGTGGCAAGTAGAGGACAAAGTGGTGTGCTGTGTGAGTGATAATGCTGCAAACATCACCAAAGCCATAAAAGTTTTGAAGTGGACCCATCACCCATGTCTGGCGCATACACTAAACCTGGTGGTTAGAGATGCTCTGAAGGTGATCAAAACAACCGTGGATAAGGTGAAGGCTGTTGTGGAGTTTTTCCACAAAAGCACAGTAGCAGCACAGAAGCTAAAGTCCACACAGCGCCAAATGGGGATTCCTGAACTGAGGCCCAAACAAGAGTGTGCCACCAGGTGGAACTCAACATTTGATATGTTGAAACGAATGCTTGAAATAAAAGATGCCATCATCTCCACCCTGGCCCTCATCAACGCATCTATTGAGCCATTAAGCCAAGAGGAATGGGAGCTGGTGAAAGAGGTCTGCGCCGTCCTGCAACCATTCCAGGAGGTGACTGTGGAGATAAGTGCAGACAGGTACCTAGAACCATTGAAGCATTGTTTTCTCTACTACTATTCAGTCACTATTATACATTGCAAACACAACACATACAGTATAATGCATCACGTATAATATGCCACATACTTTTAAAAAACTAAATTCTAAAAGTTGCTGTTTTCTCTCCTTCAGCTATGTCACAGCCTCGAAAATGCTCCTGCTTTGCAAAGGTCTGCAGCTGGTGACAGCCGAGAACCAATGGACAGTAACTGTGCAGAAAGTGAAGGAATTAGTTGCAGCTCTTTGTTCAGCCATGGACCGCAAATTTCTGCGGATGGAGTACAACACTGTCCTTTCAGAAACTACCTTATTGGATCCAAGGTTTAAAAAACTTGCCTTCAGTGATCGTAGAGCTGTTGATGAAGCTCTTCAGAGGATTAGTGCAGCAGCAGCAGCAAAATGCACCCCCAGCAGCCAGCCAGCTCCACCATTACAGGGCCAAGTGGAGGAGGAGCAGCAAACCTCTGCTGTTTGGAGGCTTTTTGATGACAGAGCTACAGGAGATGCTTCAAGGAGAAATCCGACAGCTGATGCTATAATGGAGGTGAGGAGCTACCTTGAGGAGCCCCTCATCCAGAGAGCAGAAGACCCACTGAGCTGGTGGCAGGCCAAGGCCTCAGTCTTTCCACTCCTGGTGAAGGTGATGGAGGGGAGACTATGTATTGTTGCCACATCAGTTCCTTCTGAGAGAATCTTCTCCAAAACAGGGCAGATACTCACGGAGAGGCGAAATCGTATCAGCCCATCCAAGCTGAGGCATCTGATCTTCCTGAATGCCAACCTGCCCTGAGGACTAATGCTGTTTGCTGGAGTTTGGTTCTGGTTTTGATTCTGTTCTGTGGA